TTGTTGCTAAGGAGCCCAGTGCCAGTATCAACTTGGTGAATTTTCAATTTTCACGGTTTGCAGCAGTCGTCCCCGTCGCGTCGGAGGCGGAAAACGCGGATACAGGGTGTTCCAAATGACCGACCTGCACGGCTCATCGATGCTTTGTTCGAACGGGGGCGGCAGTTTGTCATCGGGAAATTCCCGATTTGCACGGTTGGCATCGGTCGGAACTGATCGAGAAAGGAAGCGATGATACAGCGTGTTCCGTAAAACTGATCTAGAAGATCCTTGGATGCTTGCTGCCAAGAGAGGCACGCTTTAGATACAGTGACTTCTCAATTTGCGCGGTTGGCAGCAGTCATTCGGAATAAAGGAGAGTGTGTAGATACAGAGTGTTCCTAAAGGTGATCTCGATTTTCCAGGGATCCTTGTTGCCCAGGAGCCCACTATGAACTCGGTGAAGTCTCGATTTTCATGGTTGGCATTAGTCAGCACTGATCGTGAAAGTAAGTGATTATACAGCCAGTTGCGAAATTTTTTCGGAGGATTCTTAGATTGTCGGCTGCAGAATGGGCGCATGCGTAATGTGTTACTCGTCATTTTTTTTATTTTATATTATAGTATAAGATACGACACTTTTTTAAAGCAATTTGTATGCAGCTTGCATACTTGACTATCTAAAACAATTTATATAGCAAATTCTTGGAATTTTTCGTCAACCACACCTACAACTTCCACTTTCTTTGTCCTCCTGTCTCCAGAATATTTTGACTGGAAATCGTTCTGGAAAATAAGCTAAGCAGTCCCTTTGTGTATTCTTAAAAGTATGGAACGTGTGCTGTAAAATCCTGTGCCGAACAATTCTGCGCCGAACAATCCTGTGCCGAATCACCTGCGCTAAAAAGTCCGGATACCCAGCTGGAATAATGAAAGTATTTGCCCAATTATTTAATGATGAACTATACTGCTCTCAATACGTACTTGGGAGCGAAATTTCAAGTATATTGGCGAAATTGGGTGTCGGATCATTTTATGGATAGGTAGCAGCTCTCTGCTTCTTAAGTAGATTCCGTATTTTTCTAAGTCTAAGTGCCATTTTTCATATGGAAATGATTGCCTTTTTGGCAGTATGAGCATTTTTTTAAGTGTCTCTAGAGAGCAGAGTGAAGGGGGATGGGAGAGGGGAGCCATGCACCCTCGCACTAAAATTCTACGTGAAGAAAAGAAAGATTCAAAAAATTTAAAAGGGATCAATTTTTATCTTCAATTCCAAAATCAGTCCCCCAAAGCAGAACTACAGTTCCCTATGGAAGGACCATAGAGTACAATGTACTGGAGTGCCGATGAAGTCAATCCATGAACGGGCCTTTCCGAGCCGCTTGTGCTCCGAAAAGTGTGAACCAAGTGTGGACCCAACGGCATTTATTATCATGGTGGCTTATGGAGAAATCAAGAACTGCTTGTGTTTTTTCGACATTTTTTAATTCAATCGATATTAATTTGTGCAAATTTTGCTATGAACAGGTAGTCAAAGCCATAGTGAATCCATTAATGTTTCATACTCTTGAATAATATTCACAAAGGGACGTAAATTGAGACTTAAAGCAAGTGTGAACCGACCAGCATTTCTTATCACCGCGGCTTACGGGAAAAACAACGACTGCTTGTGTTTTTTCAACATTTTTTAATTCAATCGATATTAATTTGTGCAAATTTTCCTATAATTAGATAGTCAAAGCCATAATGAATCCATTGATGTATGATACTCCTGGATGATTTTCGTTTGTTGCACCCAGAAGTCCACAGGTGCCTCGAGAAAGAACTCACTTAAAAACATTGCCATGGAAAACTGTTTAATGAAAGTTTGAACAATTTAATCAACAGAAAAAGGATAATTGACAATATTACATTTTTTTCATTTTTTTAGAGAAATAAGGAAGAGAGAAGTTCAGTGACTTGCTAGCTATTGATTATTACAGCATTCATCAGATGGCCATTGTGGCAGCATGAACATACCTATTTTTCATTCTAAGATTTTATATTCATTTGATTAAGAATATTAAGGCCTATTCATCAATAATCTACAATTCAGAAAATCTACCAGCAGCTATAGTTAGTTATAATTTGTTTCAAACCATTAGCTTCATTTAAAACACCTTCTATCTGATCAATGATGCCTCAATATAAAATCTTAATTTAAAATCAGAGCCAATAGTTCAACCTAGAGGTGCAGCCAAAAAATTTTGAACTTCATCCCAATTGTATTAAACAATTCCAACAAACTAATGTTGCCACAGCTTGAAAAAGCTCTACAAGGGATGAAATGTGCTGATGGTTTAGATTAGTCTCATTTAGTTCTGAGTCATTCACCTTTCAATTACATCATTCTGTGTACCAGATAAAAGCCTAATAATTCATGAATTACATCAATTTACCGATTTAATCAACCTTTGACAAGGTGTAGTTGATCACAATTGAAATGGCCTGTTTCGATGACAACAGCCTGTGGACTGTGAGATTGAGAGAAAAACTGTCACACTTGAAGATGCACTCAGCTGAAGATTTGTCAAAGTTCAGGTGATAGTAGCTTCTACTTCTCAGAAAATCTAAAACAAAAAGAAAGCACCATCATTTTGAGCTCATCATGTGTTTTTTGTCCAATTGTACTTATCAGGGTGTCTACTAAAACAGGCTGGCCAAAAATCAGTACTTTTACAGTACTTTTTCAGTACATTCCCAAGAACTTCAGTACCTCTTCAGCGGGGAATTTCAGTACGATTTCGGTACATTCATTTGATAAAAAATTCTAAAGATTTCAAAAATTTGAATTTCTTGCTCAAATATTGACAAAATGACACAAAAATTCTGGACCTTCTTGCGGAATTTCAGCACTTTTTCAGTACTCCCGGATCGCTTTTAAAATATCGGTGCTAATTCCGGACTTTCTGGAAATTCCAGATTTGTAGACACCCTGATTTATAGATTTACCACCTAAGCTGATTTTGTGATTCTTTGGCTGACAGCACGTAAAATTTTGTAAAAAAGCCCACAGTCTTCAAATTTTCGTATTATGACCCTAGTTTCTTTTTTCTTTTTTTTTCATGAAATGGCTCTTTGAGAGTATGAAGAGTCTGTCAAAGGTTTGGCTTCATACATCATAATGCTTAAATTTGCACTTTTCCTGGTGGTCCATTGTCTGGTTGAAAGGTAGAAAGTTTTTTAGGGGTTGATTTATTTTCTCCTCCGGATCCTGGAAAAACGTGGAAGGCATTACTTTTCTACACCGCTGACTCTCAACGATTTATGAGTCATTTGTTTCCCTGTTACAGGTTTCCGAGGCGATAAGATGAGATCCCTGCCATACTGGGATGGTCCTGGGCTGTCGTTTCCCGGATTGAATCCTGAGGCATGCTCTCATACTCAATGCCCAGTGTTGCCAAACATCAAGCAAAATTTTACACAGACCCTCAGTTTGGCTTCATATTTTCCTCCAGTAAGAGCAATACATTTTTATTAAAGGGCTCCTGATTTGATCAATTTGACAGAAAGTTAAAGGAATCGACTCTTGGATTTGGCACTAGGGATCTAGTCAAAGTCGTTCCTTGAGCGGCTCCTTCCCTAAAGGACGCACTATGTTGATTACACTGAGATTAGGGGATCTTCACCCTTCCTTCAAATGCCTTCTATTCTGAGAGGCTAGGAAAAATATGTCTACTTTTTCAAGGAGCTCTTGCAATTATCACTTAAGACTTCATTTTGCGATAAGGAACCACTACCTCTGGCTCATCCATAGAACCACCTATCTGCATACGAAAACTACTAGCACATACATTGTTTCTAAAATATAGTAGTGCCTCATTGCAAAATGTAGTCCATTTAAGAAAACAAAACAAAAAACGTTAAGGTTCCATTCATAGACGGATATCATAATAACAATAATGATGATAATTTAGATTCGTTTACAGCTGCATTTGTGTAAATGTTATTTAGTGCTGTTCAAAGAGAACTTACGGAATATGTAATGATAAACTTGAATGACTGGATAGTGTCTAGGGGTATGTCATCATACGGGATCCTTACTTTTTCATTAATTACATATTCTTCAGTTTTTCCATGCTTCCCAAAATATTCCTCTTTTCAGAAATTTCTTGTATTTCTTGCTTATTTTCACTTAATCCTCACCTGACACAATGACACATACATTTTTTGAACTCTGACATGGACAGATTTTAGCTAAAGATAAAGAAATTCAGATAGGTAGCAAAAAGTAGAAAAAGGAAATTCTAGAGGAATGAACTGAAATACGCAGAATGTAACTAAGATTTTGAGGGAACATTAAATAATCAATTATTTATAAAAATTGCATACCTCCAAGGCTTTTCCTGCAAGTTTATCGCAAACATTTAATCTGCTGATGGCTGGAATCTTCTGTTGCAGGGACGGTTCCCAGTGGCTTGGCGGCTGTGGAATGAGAAAAATGAACAATGCTGTTTTTTTGTGCATATAAAATTGATTTAAGAAAATAAAAATTATTAAAATAAGGAGCTTGTAGTTTTTACTTCCACATAAAAGTAGAAAGCACACTATTTGAGGAATCAATTTTTTTCATTTGGGAATCTGCTCTCCATTGATTCATTCTATTTTAAACAAAATGAACTTAGTGATTTTTTCTAGGGAGGGGGCACTAAACATAATAAGCACTAGGTACAGAAACGCACTTAGATAGTTTAAGCTTGCTAATTAATGAAAAATAATGAGATTCGTCTAAACGTTCACTTTTTATGTCCAATATTAACGGAGATATTTCCCTTCAAAAAACACGGTGTGGATGTCATCCAACAGCTGTGGTACTTACCATGATTCCTCCCATCCTTGGATTCATCAACAGATGGCTACTTGATTTAAAATAAGGTTAAAACCAAGGTGGAAGAAACCATGGTATGCACTACTACAATGGCTGATGTCATACACTTTCTTTTTTGAAGGGCAACATCTCTGTTCCTATTGGACGTAGAAACTTAGTGCCTGAACAGCGCTTTTGCTAATCTATAATTTGAAATCATCAAAACTTAATTCTGTGAGTCGCGCAACTGACCCATTTAGTTTACAGCCCTACAGATTAGAAATCATTATTGTTAAAATATCTTGGTATGCTCTCACCTCTTCTTTCACTGATGTTATGTAGTCTTTGACTTTGACTTCTAAAACATCAAGAACCAAAAAAAAGGAGTGCTATCTGGCTCACATCTAGTAAAGTAATAAGGTCTCAAACAATTTTGATAAATACTCTGCCAGGACTAGAAATCACTCAAGAAAGAGAGAAATCCATAAAGTATCAAGAATCAATGCGAGACCTTTCGAATCGAGTTGTCGTTATTACAACGGATATCAGAAATCACTTGAGGAAATTCAAGGATGATTTATGAAATGTAATTTTTATACATTACCATGTTTTTTTTTTTTTTTTTTTTGCAGAAAATTCGCAGAAAAAAAATTTGCTTCTTGCAGATTATTCTGCCATGAAAGGTGTTGGAGAAAATATGGTTTTCTTCTCTTGGCTTAGCAGAAGTACCATACTTTTCTGTAGTGTCCAGCTTTCTTGTCTTATAAAAGAGTGTTGATCTGCATGAGAAGTCTGGTACTCAGACCTTGTGTTCATGCTTTCACATTCACACCAGCTCCTTCTTTTCACCATCTGTCATCTGAAAAATATTAGGTCAGAATAAGATACAAAGGAATTATGGTAGCAGGTCTACATTTACATTCTAATTCTTTGTAATTACTTATGTTGTTATAGATGAGCCAGCACTTCTCGAGGGTATTCTGCATATTTGATACATTTATGTGACCTTAATTTTGTTAAACCATTACATACTTGTTTTAATGTTAAAATTTTGTCGTAACATATACTAATATGTATTAAGAAGAATTATCATAATTGTGAGCTATTTCATCTAAATCCTATAAAAATTTTGGCAGGAAGAAATTTCAAAGATGATAACATTGTCTTCATAAGGCAGAGGAATATTGCTTTCTATAATTGGACCGCGTTAAACAGAAAGGAACCAAGCCACATCAGCTATTGCCAGGGAGTAACAGGGGAAACAGGCGAATTTGATTTTTTACGAGAGAACGTTTGTGCGGCTTCCTTTGAAAATTTTAAGAAATTTGCTTTGTATTCTGGAGAAAATTCATAGAAATTTGCACAAAAACCCGCACAACCGTTTTCATGTAAAAAAATTACATTGCCCGATTAAATTTGGCAATAGCTCATGAGGCTTGGTTCCTTTCTGTTTAACGCGGTCCAATTGTGACCCTGCCAAATACCAACATTGAATAAATCAGAAATTTTAAGTTTAGTTGGAGTAAGCTTATAGGTAGTACTAACTTAATATGTTTGCAAACTTATCTGAGATTGACCACGATCTTGAAGGTCTAAGGGCAGTTCTATCAATGATTAATTCATTTCAAAAAGGTTTCCCAAGAGAGATGTGAGAGTACATTTTAATATTCCGGTTACATTTTCCCAAAGAGCCAAGCTACACCTACATCACAAAAAGCTAGAATGGCTTGAAGCACTCACCTCCGATCTAGATCGATGAAACTCATTCAAGTTTTCTTTGATAATGTCCACGGTCAAACCATCAGCGACATGAACACAATGCACTCCTAGTCGGGCGACGGAACGAATATTTCGTTTGTCATCATCAAAGAAAATCATGTTGCGTAAATCAACCCTGGAGATAGCATGAAGACTGAAAACAATCAATATGAATTTCAGAAACTGAACCAGCAAAAAAAAATAAAGCTCAAGAAATAAACAACGACACTGAACTTGAACATAAAACCTACTTGTATGGAAAAAAGATGGAAGATGTCTGAATCAATTTTATTTAGAATGAAGATGAATAATGTAAGGGACAAAATATTAAAAAAAAAAAAAAAAAAAAAAACCACTGGATATTAAGAGTGCAGGGTTCATAATGGTTGCATGGCAAAAATTTTACTTTTCTCTACACTAAGATATTCGAGCGGACAAACAAGGGAAGTGTTGATTTCTCACAACTTTTATTGATATTATCGACGCCAATTTACTATGAAAATTTTGCAGTGGAGTGACAACCATGTAAGCAGGGCAGGCACTGTCTCTTCTACCTATCACTCCCTATTAAGTAATTTAAAGGTAATCTATTTCCTTAGTTCTAATAATATGAAAGATGCACAGATGAAGGAGTTAAGGGAAAGTTTGGAAATGGGCGTATACATACAAAAGAAGCTTATCTGCAGTGTTACCCTATGCAGTTAGCTTTTGCTACAATTTTCCATATTTTTTTTTTGTCTCATTCCTTAAAATGTTTTCTTTCATCTGACATAAAATCTTTCTGATTCATAAAAAATTCAAATTTTAAAAGATTTTTTATTTACTTAGATACATTAGATTTGAAGGAACAAAAATTCAATATTAAAAAAACCTACTAATATTCGAATTCGTAATAAACCAAAAAGATTACTCATAAAATAGAGGAAGACTTTCTAAGGAGTCAGATGATTAAAATTTTAAAATTTGTTACTCACTTGCGACATAATTTTTATTGGGCAGACGCATTTTGAGCGTGAGCCATACCAATGATGAGCCGCTCTCTCAAAACGCGTCTGCCCAATAAAACTTACGTCGCACGTGAGTAAAGAATTTTAAAGTTTTAATTACTTTCGTACAGCTTGCGCAGAAAAGCTCCCTCAATTCAATATTAAGGAATTAGGTCATTAGGCAAAAAAAAAAAAAAAAAAATTGAAAAATCCTTACGAGAGGATACTGAGAAAAAGGCACATGAAGTGATTTAATTTGTACATAGCAGGGATAGGCACAACTGTCTCTCCTGAGAGGGAGTCGCAAGTCCCTATCTACACTCTGTAAAATGCTACGGTACGCGTTTCTCTGGTTACAGTGAACAGATTCAAAAAAACATTTTTTTGTTAGACTCTTTTTCAGCTTTGACCATAGAATTTATAAAAAAGAAATTTATGTGAATATTTTTTTTAAAGAAAAAAATTGAAAGGATTTGCAAATGAGGCCTTTAAACTCTCTTTTTTTTAAGAATAATGAGAGAAAACCCTCACGTCTGTAACTAGAAAAAGAGTACATTTTTTGGAAATCCATCCAGTAGATCCTGAGAGCCTTACGATCAAAAATCTTTGTTTCAAGAAAAACCTGTTCGAAGTTTTGAACTAACAGAGGGATTGTATCATAAAACGTTCCTAATTTATTCAGATTGATATATAATGATCAGATATTTTTTTTAAAAAATGGTCTTGAGTTACAGCTGAGGATGTATAGAATTGAAATAGAAAAAAATACCTTTTTTCCCATTTTTTAAAGAAACATGCTTATGCAGGCTTCTGTGTGTACTTCTTCCAAATGCCGATTTAGTATTTTTTCTCTCTAACTCACACTTGGTTAAATGAAACGTATCAACAAACAAATGCACCCCTAAACTGTGAGTGTATCAGCGGTCAATATCTGAGAATTACTTGTGTCTATCCAACCTTATCGAAAAACTGATCATCAGCAATCGCAGTACTCCAAAAATAGTATTTACCAACCTCATTAAATTATTCACTTACTGTTTGAAATGATGCACTTTTGAGCCAGGGTAAATAGTTTTGAAGTCAAAGTACTGACTGATATTGAACAGATGTAGTAACTGGTAGGCAGCTGAAATGTTCAAGATCCTGGAAGCAATGGCCAAAGGAAAACCATTACTTTTCAAGTACTGTAAGCTTGCCATAGCACCTGGGTATAGTTTACATGATACTCCTCGGTTATCAACCACCATATTAGTCCTGAGAATCATGAAAAGATGGAGAGCTTGATAAGTGAATTTGACTGATAAGGAGAAAAATTAATTTAAATATTTCAGCTGAAATACTAAAATATTTAAAATACTTTCTCTTGAGGTTAAAAATCGATGGCTAAAGTGTGGAACCCGGTGCCTCCATGGCGGTGTTTCAAAATCTCCGCTCCTAGTTTATTCGTTCGAAGAGAGAAAATTAAACGTTTTAACTTGAAATTTATACAGAATACTTTGCTGTCAGAGAAGAAAAATCACGGAACTTTTCAAGAAATTACGAAGACTTGTTTTCCAAGGGGGAAAAAAAAGTATGACAGATAGTCTTAAACATCACAAATGGAGATACACAGCCTTGCACTTTAGCCATTGATATTAAATACCTAAACAAATAATTTATTTGAATGTTTTGCCTGTTGGCCAAATACATATCACAGGTCATTACAATGATACACCAATAATACATCAAAAATTGACGCACTTTTGGAACTACATTGTACTTGAATGCTTGGAATGAAATTCGAAAATGCATCAAATGTATTTATTTGAAATACATTGAATTAATATTGAAACATCCCAGAGAATTGACAGGTTGTCACAGAAAATTTTGCACAAATAAATGTTCATAATGAATTTTTTTTAAATGCAATAAGTACAGAATTGCATTGCAATGATGAAATTGTAGGAATGCACAAATTGTTCAGTGTTTTGAAATCTTCGTTCCCGCATTTTATCATCGAAGAGGAACAAACCAACACTATGGCTTGAAATTATTACAGAAATATTCTTCACAAACAGAAAAAAAATCAGGAACTTTTAAAAAAAAGACTATTGGTACTTTTCTACTTAAAACAAAAAGTATAAGAGGAAGTCTACTACGTTGCAAATCAAACTACACAATCCTGCAGTTTAGGCATATTTTCCCACTTATATTAAAAAGGAGGGAGTTTGCTCTTGTCAGCTCACTACTAACTTTACAACATTTCAATCAAATGATGTAGGAAATCCTTGAAATTAAATTGATGAGTAATAATGTTATGTGTTAAATTATCTTTTCTGCAGAGCAATGATTGTCTGTCTTTTCAACTTAAGCCAATGGACCACTAGACAAGTTACGAATTTCAGCATTCTGATACATGTTTCTTAACCAAAATTCCACGTAAACCTTGATGTGCACAACGAAAATAACCAAAATCGATTGATTACGAAGATAATGATTCTTGATGCGTGAATTTAAACCACCCGTTCACGAAAACTCAATGCTCTACGTGATTCACATCGAGCGCTAAATGTTATCATGACAGTCTGTGCGAGATGAAAATCTGGCAACCTCGATCTTAACGCTTTGGCCCAGCTATATTTATTTTTTTATTTTTTTTTTTATTTATTTATTCTTTTGCTTTTTGCACATTTGGCTTAACAAAAACGTCATTCTAAATAAAGGTACTGATAGGTATAAACATATTTACATACAATTCGTCTTAAATTCATTCATTGACATTCAAAAATTCATTGATTGAGTACGGGCATTTCGCAATCAAATGCCTTGTGGCCAGCTTACCGAATGTTGGACTATATATGCTTTCCTGTATAATATTTGGCAATTTATCAAAGAATTTCCATGCCTTTGTTAGGTATGTGTCGTTCTAGCAAATAGCAAATTGCTTATAGTTTAAACAACTCATGGTGAGAAATGAACATTGCTCGATTGAGAAGCTTGCTGAAGCCGTTGTAGTGCGCGATTTGACTCACGTAGAGCTTTGAGTTTCTTGTGAGCGGGCAGTTCAATTTCCTCGTGACCAATGTGAAATAAAACCGTTAATATCTTCGTTAGGGGTCGGTTTCAGTAATTTTCGTTGCCCGAGTCATCTTCTACGTAAAATTCTGGTTAGGAAACATGTATCAGATTGCTTGAATTCGTACCGTGTCTAGCGGTCCATTTCTAATTTCTTTTGGGCTTTGGTGCATACTTATGAAATGAAATAAGATAAATATAGCTCAAAAAATTTGTATTTTCTCAAATTTGGTAGTCTTCAGACACACTCAATTTTCTTACTTGAATGAAAAGACACTAACAAAAACATATTGTGCGTAAAAAATGAATTTTCCGGGTATGATTTTTAGAGTGGCGATTTCTCTTAGTCCTCTCAGATATTTTAAATTTACTTACTCATCATCAATAAGGAAGGGACTCAATAGTTTGTCCACTTGAAAAGACCACAAAGTCAAATCTGAAAAAAAGAAGAAAATTGTATTTCTTTACCTTAAATAAGACAATGAATAGATTCCCCCCCCCCCCTCTTTTTTTCCTAAGTGCTTACAGTTTCAGGACATTCCGTCAACAATTTTTTGTCCGCGCACCTATCTTGTCCAGTAGTTTATGTCCACGCATAAAATAAGCAACAGTGACTTGGTCCAAGCTTTATATTTTAGTCCGTATGTATAATTATATTGACAATATCGAAATGAGAAAATTGAGAGAGAAGGAGGTGCTTTTATGGTAACTCATTTTTTAAATGAAATGTTACCTACTTTTTTTCTTTTGATTCATCTTTTCAAATTGTCAATGGTGAATATTTGGTTTTATTTTTATCCTTAAAATTTTCGATATAAAATATATTTTTTTAATACCTAATATTTTAGTCAAATACGTTCAATTTTGAGCGTTTGGTTGCACGTTCACCACACTGCAGTACAATAAAGGCACAACATTTAAAAGAAAAATTAAATTTCTTTGGAAATCATTGAATTTGACACGTAACCATCTAAATATTTACAAAATACACATTACATTTTCCTTTAATACATACTTTTCCCCCATCAATTTAAATGAGAATCATCCATGCAGAGAGTGTAAACATTTCAAAATCATGAGTTGAAAAACGCTGACTCCGCGAGTTTAAATATCAGAGCTTTATATAGGGCGGCGCGGCCGTGCTGCCAGCGCAAAACGCGCACTGGCGCCTACAAACCTAATGGGATACTTCACGCATTGCGCAAAGCTTGAAGTATCACTTTCGGTTTGTAGGCGCCAATGCGCGTGTCTTGCTGGTCGCCCGGCCGCGCCGCAGTGTGCCACGGCGCCTCAAGCAACTATTTCACGCCAGAGGCAGTGTTCCCAGGCGTACGGATATTTCCGCGCCGCGCGGACATTCCCTATACCCGCGCGGACAGCGTACGGACAAAAACCTTATGGGAAAATTTTTCCCTATCTTATTTTGTCCGTACGCTCGCCCGGCCCTGCTGTCCGTGCGTCTGTTTATCTGCTTCTCTTTGCAATATTTATTACTTTTGCGTAAGTTATTGATACAATGATGTTTAGTATGAAAGCCGGGTATCGTTCGGGAACAAATTAGATACTTTTTGCATTAATTATACTGTATTCTTATCAAAATTCAGTCATTTATTCATTTATGTCCTTGTGCCCGCCCGGCCTAGTCCGTGCATCTGTTAATCCGCTTTTCTTTGCAATATTTATTACTTTTGCGTAAGTTATTATCGTTCGGGAACAAATTAGATACTTTTTGCATTAATTATATTGTATTCTTATCAAAATTCAGTCATTTCATTTATGTCCGTGCGCCCTCAACAAAACAACAAAACAGCCGGAGCCGGAACCGGAACCGGAAACGGAATTCACGGAACACGGAGCGGCACGGATATACACGAGCCCATCCGGAGAGCGTACGGACATTTTAAGATAGGAGCACCTGGGAACACTGGCCAGAGGTGTTGCACAGTATCATATAAAATTGTAGGCGCTCCAACATATTAAGAATGACAGGCATCCTTTAGGAGTATATACGGAGCTTTCCTCGCAAAATAAATCAAGATACTACAGTACAAAAAGAGAGCAGCAATCCAAAAACTCACTAAGTCCTAGCATCCGTATTTAATAACGTTTAGCATAATTTTTGAATTTCATTAGAGAAAAAAGTGACTCAATTTATGCAGAAACACTCTTGAGTATGCCGTCAAAAAGATTTTACTTTGAATCAAGAATAAAATAGTTGGATGAGAGCGGGTTTCTGCTTGATGTAAGTGACTTTTCTTTTTATAAAAACACCTTCTCTTCTTTAAACAAGCATTATTTTCTTTATTGATTCATAAGGAAATCTTCTCGGCAGTAAATTTGAGCATATTTCTGCTTGAATTATGTCACTTTTTCCTCTAATGAAGTTCAAAAATCATGCTAAACTTGATTGAATATAGATACTAGGACTCAGTAATTTTTTCAACTACCGCTCTCTTTTTGTGGTCGTCACTCGATTTAATTTGCGAGATAACTAATTATATGCTTTTGAAAGACGCCATTGATCATGATACGTTGGGGTAACTTCAATCTCTTATGATAGCAACACCTCCGAGACGAAATAGTACGATGGTGAAAGTGCATAAGTGCGTACCTATTCGGGAAACACGAGTTTCCAGGAGAGTAAAAAAAAACTGTCTACAATCCTATTTATTGTTAGTAGAAGAATACCTAATAATTCTTGAGGATCGCAAGAATAAGATGCTTTTTTAGACTTCATCAGCATTTTTTATGATTTCTCGAACTGTTAGAAAATACGGCACAAATACCGAGATTTGCGTTTTCGGCACTAAGAATTGATACTTCATCACGAGATACGCATTTTTGCCATTAGTGTTTTAAACCTGTTGTTGGCGGGTTTGGGTCGTTTGAAGACCAAAAAAAGAGTTTCACGCTTACAATTCCTTATCAAATAAGATTCAGGGAGAAAGTTCGGTATTTGGACTGCTCGAAAAGTCCAACAACCGTACCCCCCACGAGTTCAGTTCAGTACGAGTACAGTTTGATCTCATATGGCCTGATCAAGCATTGTATGATTGGAAAATGACATTCTATCACGAGAAACACATTCCCATAATTGGCGTTTTGGACCTGCTCTTGATCATTAAGATCAAAACTAGAGTTCATTCATACTTACAACTTTTTTAGAAACTTTAGTTGATTCGATACGATAAGTCACCAATAAGTGAATCAGAGAATTGGCTTCCTTCAGTAACGTTCACACCATAGGCAAGAAGACAGTACGTAGGTAGTCCCTCGAATATATCGTCTCTGCGTGGAGCCTCAAAAAATTAAATAGGTAACTAATTGTCAGGTTGCGGTCCTCTACAAGTGCACTAGAGCATGTAGCTAGGTGACCGGGTAACCATCATCTACATACCTACATGCCAATGGTCTGGACTGTCACGAGTTCGAAGCTGCAAGTTTGTCTATGTCTATATGCGATTCGGAGGAGGAAGAGAAATGATAATGGGAGCGAATAGGTATTACGCATCGAGTCAGTGCGAAACTTACCTAGATCCAGCACGACAAGAGGTAGATCTTCAGCCATTTGAACTCCAGAGAAACAGGAATGAAAAGATTGGCTACTGCTAAATAATTACCGCCACCATATCGATCAAGATTTATGAGTCAACGAGAAAAATGTATTCATTCTCCAAAGACATTGAATAAAATCTCACTATCAGTGAGCGAGCACATGTTGAAGTAGAAATCCAAATTTCATGGTCCCGAAGCTTCTCTCTTCCCCCTTGGGGTGTAAACGGGGGGCCCAATTTTAAAAATCGGGGCTCCTTTCCGAATCGCAAATTGATTGCATCCAAATTGAGGAGCAGAACACATTTATAACTTAAGTGACCCTCAAGAGTTCTAATTGACCCCCCTGAACGGCAGAAAGAAACGTTCAAACGTTCAAACGTTGATAAGAAGTTGAATGTTGTTGTTTGTTGTTGACAGATTCTGATTTAGAGGTTAGGTTAGGTAAAAATAAACAATTCAATGTCATTCAAGTTTTTCCGATTTTCCCAAAATTTGCCCGTTATTTAAAAATGAAGAAACAGAAGTAAAAAGTTCTCCGATACACTATTTCAGACAGTGAATTTTTTTGAAAAGTGTTGAAATGTTGAAGTCTGTGGTAATGTTTAGAGAAATCCTTTTTGCCTTGTTTCAATTTTAAGCTTAGTCAATAGGACTCATAACGTAATCGTAACTTCTTAAAGCTTCAAAGCTTTTCTCTGTATAATTAAAATTAAGTAGAGCTCATTTTAATTAAGTAGAGATGCGATTAGTAAGTAATTTTGTATTTTAATTCAATTCCTTGATCATTCCTCAAATGGATTTCTTATTAGTCTCCAGAATCTCTCATCGATGCACTATTCTAACATACTTACTTAATAAAAGTTTTTTTTTCAGCCATTGAACATTTTGAATCGGTTTTCACTGGATCAGGCCAGATCGCAGAAGCAGACTGGCACAAAAAATGAATCCCCTCATATGTGTCCTCTGCGGTTTTGGATGAAAAAATCCCTTGATCTTTGAAATAAGAAACCCTGTAGAGAGAACCATAGGATTTGGCACTAGCTAAATTATGTTTTTATTTAAAGCTATGTTCTTCACTGCACCTCCTGAGTATGATCAGCCTTCATACTAGAACTTTTTATGTACCAAATTTTCTTCATGAGGAGCTGAACAGCAGAAATTTCCTTCAGAGCATGCATATAAATCTCTGGAAAAAAAGACAAATGTAAAGCCTGTTTGGAGAGTGCAGTGAATGCAGTGTCATGCCTGATTAAAGAATACATACACATTTTATTTGAAGACTAAAAAGTTACTATTCACTCTGATGTGAAAGAAAACCCCCTTAAAAAATCAATAGGACCGCAAAGTTTCAACAACATTATCAGTTGAAATAAATTCGCCACTCTTACCTAGTAACGTTTTAACTTTTTTCTCTAATCTGTTACAGTTTTCTTTCGGAGTTGGCGTCTACGCTGGGGTCTATTTGGCTCAAAATTATGAGGTAAGGCACACATCCTACTCATTGCTATCTTATGATTACTACTTAGTGAAAAGTAATGGTTTTTTCTGTGCTCCCATGTTTGAGTGATGCATTCAAACCTAGGATGTCCAGGTCAAAAATGAGTTGCTTTAGCTGATGAAAATACCGTCAGAGACGACCAAGAGGCGCAAGTCAGGTCCTCTTGGAATGTGATTTCATTAGTGTAATTTTTAGAAATTCCCATTATTATATTCTAAGTTACTTACTAGAAGTCTTGCAGTTTCTGCAATCAGATTACATCAGTTACATGAGAAACTTGTGCTAGGGGGCCACCGAATAAAGCAAGAAAGTAAAAACATTGCAAAGAACCCTGCACACTGGTGAGAGCCTACTGGATCTCGGAACATTTTGATATAACTTTAATAGGTTGACTTCATTAGCACACAGCCAAGAAATTAGGTGACTCAGCCAGGTAGGACCTGAGGCACTGAAGATGGAACAAGCTCAATATTTTATGTAGTACTTTAATTCATACCTTTTCTGAAGGCCTTTTGTCCAGTCCATTTCAACTGATTTTGACTGTAATTCTTGCATATTGAGTTTAAATGTTTGCTGTAAGTAACCAATGTATTCTATAAATGTCAATGAATAATTTTAAATTAAAAGTCAATTTAGTACAGAAGAGCATAAATAAATAATTATGGAATATGTGATCTTCAAGAATTAATAATGAAATATTTATTTTTTCAATTCAATTCAATTTATTAATTCTTCAATTTACACAATACAATAAAAATACATAATCAACTTCCCTCATCCAGGAGGTGACTCGTGTGGATGAGGCTGTTATAAATAGGTACATACATTTAATTTAAGTTTAAATTTTAAGCAAACATAATGTTGAATACAATATAGAAATTTGTATCCATTTTTTTTTATATAAAAAAGAACAACTAATTACATTATCTAATTACATTAGCTAAATAGATTCACAGGTTGGCAAGGCCCTCGTTCCTATTTCCTCTGCTTTCACATACCAAACACAACAATATATGTTACAGAAATGAGTACAAAACACTTGGATTGCACATTGCAAGGAGGAACCAAGAGAATCTCAGTGTCGCCATGATTGTGCAACTTGAGACTTAGCCAGAATCACTTTTCCAAAATCTAGCAACACTGGGACGCTCCAGCCCCCCCCCTGCCAAGCGCAATCCAACTGTTTTGTAAAATAAAATACAATTTATTATTTGCTATAGGTGAGCTTACCCTAGGATTGATTTGGTAACTTAGATGATTGACTTGACTGTATACCCCACATTTCTTTTTGAGACTTCGAGTCTTGGTTGCTGTACTATTACTTGGCTCGGATTTCTGATCTCATATTTTATTTCTCTTTGAGGGAGTGGCTCGGATTGGAAAAGCGGTGTTAATCTTTTCAGCTCCCTTTGGTAAAGTTCATGGAAACCTTTAACATTCAACAAGTCGTATAATTCTGCCGATGGATAGGTCTGGGGTAGGTTTAGGATAGTCTTTATTGCCCTTCTTTCAAGTCTTAAGATTGGCTTGAGGATGTTGCTACTTGCGCCTCCATAGACTGCTATGCCATAATTGAGAACAGACTGAAAGAAGGACATAAAGACTATCCGCAGAGAGTCCAGGCTAAGGAAACGTTTCAGAAAGATGATGGAGTATATGACTTTGCTGAGCTGTCCTTCAATTTTTTTGACATGCTCGCTCCATGTTAATCCTCTGTCTAACATTATCCCTAGATATTCTGCTTGATGTTCTAGTTTGAGATACTCGCAGTTACAATTTTGATTTGCATTACAATGGTGGAATCTTATTTTCAGCTCTTCAACCCCATCATAGTTGGTTGAGAATGGAATACAAATAATTTTCGACAGGTTTAGCGTTAGTTTGTTTTCTTCAAACCAGGGTTTAATTACCTGGTTTAACCCCTGGTTTACCGTGTCATTTAATGTTTTCCATGATTTTTCGTTGAACAGCGTTGAGGTATCATCAGCGAAAGCTGATATGTAGCAATTTTTTAGTTTAATGCTGCAAAGATCTATTGTAAAGATTATAAAGAGGATCGGCCCCAATACCGATCCTTGGGGAACTCCCCATCCCACTTCCATTTCCTCACTTAAATCTCTAAATTTCACTCTCTGAGTGCGCCCAGATAAATAGCTCTTAAATAGATCTAAAGCTACCCCTCTAACACCTATATACTCTAACTTAGATAGTAAAATTTTATGTGACACTGAGTCAAAGGCTCTGGTTACATCTAGTAGTAGGAGCGCACATTTCTCTTTATTTTCTAGGTGTTGTATCACTTTATCAATCAGTTTTGCTACGGCCTGGACTGTGTTCTTATTTTTTTGAAATCCAAACTGATTTGTTGGTATTATTTTATTTATAATCAAAAAACTGACCAGTCTTTGTTTTAGTGTTTTTTCAAAAATTTTTGATAAATTAGATAGGACTGAAAGAGGCCTGTAGTTGCATGGTTCATCTCTAGATCCTTTATTTTTATAGACTGGGGTTACTGTCGCCTCCTTGAGTTTGTCTGGAAATAGGCCCTGGGTGAAGGACAGGTTAATAAGATGTGCTAGAGGTGTAGAAATACTTCTGGAGCAATATTTCAGTAATATTATAGTTACGTTATTTGATCCAGAGCTTTTCTTTAATTTTAACTCTCCTATGATTCTTTCCACCTCGTATTTATCTACTGGAGCCAGGAAAATCGAATTTTCATTTCGTCGTGTTTTATTTATCGTTGATGCGTCCTTCTTATTGTCATTTATCGGGATCTTTTCTGCTAGTTTTTCCCCAACTGTGGCAAAATACTGATTAAGTTGGTTTGCAGTGATGTCTGCTTGGTTTTCATTTTTCTGTTTTCCACGACCTGCCAAGTTGTTTACTATTTCCCAAAATTTTTTTGGGTTTTTCTCTGCATTACTTATTTTGGTTCTGTAGTAGTTGTCTTTGGCTTTCCGAACTATCCCTACTACCATGTTTCTATACCGAGTGTAATATTCTTTCAAATCAAGATTTCCTCTATCCTTCACCCAAGCTCTATGCCTCCTATTACGTTCTCTAACGCTTTTTAGAATTCCTACAGTCATCCAAGGCTTGAGTTTTTTATTCTTGTTTGTTATCTTAATTTTCATACTACTTTTTTCCACTACATACTGTATGCTTCTATAGAACTCTTCCATTGCTAAATTAACAGTATTACAATCCAGTACATTTTTCCAATTTACTTCACTCATTAACATTTCTGCTTTCTTATAATCTAGTTTTTCTATCCACGGGCTGTCCTTCAATTTCTGGGCTCCATTTTTCTTTGTACTACTTAAGTAAAGTACTACAGGGTAATGATCAGTTATGTCTGCTTTTATAACTTCAGAGTTACAAGAAATTCCTTGAAGTTTCAATCTTACATGTATATGATCCAAGCACGAGTCTTTTCCTGATATTAGATTTGGTCTAGTTGGTTCATTTATTAGACTTATGTAATTACTTTCAACAAGCACTTCTGTATATTCTCTAACATTTTCATTTGGGTCCAAGAGGTCAAAATTGAAGTCTCCTGCAATTATATGATTTTTTTGCTTCATTTTTCCTAGGAACCCTCTCAGCCAATTTATAAATACTTTTTCGTCTTTAAATGAGGGGGAACGATAGATTCCAGTCACGAAATATTCTTCGTGATCTAGTTTAATTTTAACTGAGAGTCCTGAGCACCCTTCATATTTTACTGTTTGGATCTCATATGCCATTCCTTCTTTAATAAACATTCAGACTCCGTCCGCTCTGTTCCTAGTTGCTAGAGCATGTACGGCTTGGTAACCCTCCATTTTTGCTAGGTGGCTTTATGCATGAATGATCTAAAATCAACTGATTTGACATAACTCATTAAACGCATCCCAATTCATCACTGAGAGAAGGTATTTGTCCAGTGATAATACCTTTCCAATTGGATAAATTTTAGTAAATGGAACTGAAGGTCACCCTTTGGAAAACTGTCGTGCTAAGAAAGAACACTGTAGGAAATTTTGAGTTGCCTAATTTCCCAGGAGAAAATGTGAATTCTTGAGGAAAGATATGCATATTTCTTCTCTAAGTGTTCAGATATTTTAAATTAAATTGCGAACGAAATTGTCTGTAGAATTTGAAGAGAAATATTCATAGTTTTCCCAGTACATTCGTTTTTTATGAAAGGAAACATGGCAAAGTCTGATGACTCATATGGCGCTCTTCCTTACCACAGCAATACAGTTCAGCTGATTTTGTCTTTTTTGGCACGATCTACTCATTGCCTCATTCTGGAACTTGGGTAAAGGATTTCATCATTTTTTATTATGTCGCTTCCATAATTTTTCCAGATTCCGAAAGTGGATGATCCAGCTACAGTATGGAACAGAGTAAGGACCTACATGGAAGAAAATTATGGCAAACCGAAAGACAAATAATTTAGTTGATTGTGATATTTCACCATTTATTTCTAGTTGTTGGCTCGTGTATCCTTTTTTCTTTTTGTTTGTTATTTCATGTTTTATTTTCTCAATATCATCGAAATGAAGTTCGTTGATCACTATCCTTTCATTCTCTCTAATTTTCGATGAACTGATGTCTATGTGAAATAAAATTGTTTACATGAATTTTTGTAACATCAGATGTACTTTTTTTTTACACCCATCAGCCATCAATTTGATGGATCATCAATGTGTTTGATATTTGCCGTGTCAATTCAGACTATTGTATTTTCATTGAAGGAATGTTGTGGCATTGCTAGATTGTCTATAATAAGAGCTCTTCCTTTTTCTAAGAGGAGATCAGAAGATGATGAGCCTTTGACCTTCTTGCGTTTTTTGAAGAAAATACACTGCTGTTTTTTTCTATTAAGGAAAGCAACATCAAAAAATGTCAACAGTCTGGAAATATTGAGAAAGAATCTTAGAAAACAAGAGTAGATTTGTTCAAGATCATTTATTTATGTCCTCTTTTTTTCTCGTTAAATGTACAATTTATAAATAACAAGTTGGCAAATATTGTACAGAAAACCTAAACCTATGTCAGGTACAAAGTGTTCACTTAGCCTATAGGTAATGGATAAAATTTCATTGCACAATTGCAACGGTTTCATCTTAACATGGTGATAAACAAATGGAACAAATATGATACACATATTTCACATAATTACAGGCCAACTTGAGTAACAAAATATCAATGCATCAAAGAGGAGGCAAAATTGATTATTATTGCCGATACATTTGACACAATGATCGTAAAAAAAAACATGAGAAAGATAAGCAATATTAAAACCTAGACAAGTAAAAAATTAGCGAGTTGAATGTTTTAAATTCTCCATTAAATACATATATTTTTATAAATTTATAAAACAAGGGAAGTTAGGAAGTAACTTGAAAAAAAATCTTCATTCTGCACACTTCAAGACTTGAAATTTCTCCTATTTCACCCTATTTATTTCAAAAACTTGTGAATGCAAGCATGTCTTACACTTAGATTCATGCAAGAATGGTAGTGCTCTAATCATTCTATCGAATTCTTTAACCCTCTCTTTTTTTATAATCCGTTCTTTAGAAAATATTTGCAGGAAAATACAGTGGATTGTTGTGATCTCAAAAAAATGGTTAACAAAAAGAAAGAAAAAAAATATGATGAAAACAACAATATCTTCTTAATTTGAAAAATCTAATTATGGCATGTTACAACTTTTGGAACTAAAAAAGAAAAAAATGCATCTTGAGTGTACTTTAAACCCTAAAATAATAAGCTCTAGAAACAGACACTGCATGATAAGTTGGCGGAAAGACAAGTACTAATTTACAGCTAGAACTTTGAAAAGTACGAAGGGAGATACTTAGAACTGAAATTTTAAACTTGATTCAGTGTGCAAGAGTGTGTTACTTGCTATGAGAGGGAAAAAAAGAAATGTTTACAAATCCCATTCCCTAAAATAGCAATCAGTCTTTGATAAAATTGGAATAAAACGTAATAAAATTGAGTGCTTCCCTAGTCGTTTCCAACTTAATCATTGTCAATCAACATAATACAAACAACAAAGAGGGTTCTTGAACAAAATTGAGATATTTATAAGCAGCTTAATTTTAGGGGATTTTATTTGAGAATTTTAAAGCTCTTCAATAATATACACTTCGGATCACTGAGTTGGGAGAAAGGAACAAAGAGAAACAAAACTGAGAGGCGAACAATTTCTAACCAAGATGTTAAAATAAAGAAATAAGAGATAGCAGTCATACTTTGTGAACAATACGTAACAAATAACCATAAAAATATATAAAAAGAAAACCTAACAGCTCCTTCTTTGAATTAGTTGACCAAAAAGTACACGTGTAATCAAAATGCAAATTATCATTCAAAGAACTCTTAGCACTTAATGGTTCATAAAACAAACCACTGATAAGTTTCCATGGAAGAAAACGTTCAATTCTAAGACTTTAGATTGCAGCAGATTGGCAAATACGCACAACTAAACAAACATACATGCGATAAAGAATCCATCTGAACGAAAGAGTTTATTACTTTGATACGTCGAGTCATTGGATTAGTCAGTCATCCCTCAATTCTATTCATTCGATACAGTCATGCTGACATTTGGTCCTACATTGGAAGGAACATCACAGGCTAATAAGTCAGTCTTAAGTAAGCATTGAAGAGCCACATTGATATTAAATTTAAATCATTTTGCTCCTCTAAAACCAAGAATTGTAACGGTTTATTGAATGTTATCAGAGGCTGAATGATTGACGAGAGGCCTTCGTAACTTGTGGCAAAAGAGAAGCCAATATCATCATTACATCCAAAAATCAACAAATTCAACTGAGTGGCTGATTGATGGAAAATGGCCCTACGTAAAGAAGAGAACAAATAATCAGGGTCCATTTTCAAGATAACAGTTGAGACAATCAGGCACTGAGACAACCTAAATTCACAAAGGACGTTGATGAGGAATCGTTGAGTTGATGCTCTGTTGAACAGGTAATCAATCAGATCCGTTAGCTTTACTTGCTGCTTTCAGCTTTGGGGTTTCATGTTATGGCGGTAACGAGTGTAAAAATTTGCAATTAGCAAACGAACAGTTCCCCTTGCGCAGGAACATTTTACAAATTCCGTGCTTTAAAGCAAACTCTTCGTTGTAGTCTCCTTTCTTGAAAGATCCTGCAACACATCAAAATTGAAGAAAATTAGCGCAAAAGTAATGAGGGCATCACTTAATGACTAGAGCAACAGACAGCACTGAGTCACATCGGGTGTTATCTAAAATGAGTGAATACTACAGTTTTCAATTTTTCAAAGTGCATTGCAATGCCAACTTCTTCAGAATTTTCAGCATTCCCTTAAAATTATCCACAGGACCATCAGGAGTCATGGTAATGTCAGTTTTTCCCCCTTTTTTCAGGAAAAATTGAAAGTTTGCTTACTTGAAAAACCCCCAATGTGACTTCCTGATTTTCATTCTTTGTTGTTACATTTCTTCATGAGAAACAGTTTTAATGTTTTTCAATGCACCTTCATACTCACATCTTTTGAAAATATTAAAAAATAATTAATCTGATTACTTAATAACGTAAAATTAGGTTTTTGCTCTTCAGAAAAAACTTAGTATTTTTGGAGTACCTTTTTGTAACATAGGAAATTTCATTTTTTCCTAAAAATTCTAGAGTTCACGAAAATTGTTCACACTGCTTGGTGCTTCAGAACCCACCTATGAAAACAGGGATTTATCTGGGTTTCCCAGATCAGTAAACATCGGATTTTAGAATGGGAAGGACATTTATAAGGCTTTTGACAATGAAAGAGCCCACTTATGTTGAAGCAGAAATTACGGTTTTTCTCTTTTTGTATGAAATTTCTGGAAAAGGGATTCTTAGTATAGGAGGGACAGCATGAGGCTAAAACAATACTGCATTACTCTGTCTGTAAGAAGGAAAAGAAGTTAAGAGCTCAATTGTAAAGATAAAAGCTGAATTTCGTTGATCAGGAGCCAAAAATCTTACCTTTGCCTTTGTTTTTGCTCTTGTCTTTTCCTTTCCAAGGTCGGCTGTCGCCTCGTCCTCCCCTATCGTCATTACGGTACTTGCCACTATTCCGCGGAGGCATGTTGCCGGAGGGTCCGAAATCTGAGTTCATGTTCATCATTCCTTGTGGGCCCATGTTGTTACCGCTCGGGTCGAACCAACCCGGACCAGGCCCAGGACCATTGAACATGTTTGGAGGACCACCACCAGGTGGGCCCATACCTGGCCCAAATGAAGGATCGAAGTTGCCCGGGAAGCCCATATCTGGGCCTGGACCAGGTCCCATTGGGCCCATCGGACCCATTGGCCCGACAGGACCCATCGGTCCAGGAGGACCTCCTGGTACCATTGGTCCCATAGGTCCAGGTCCAGGACCCATTGGGCCCGGTCTTCCACCTGGGAACATCGGCATGTTGGGATCAGGTCCCTGCAAGAAAAATGCAACAATTAGCTACTTAAATCAAAAGTATGAACACACATTAACAGATTGCTATGTACTACTGGTATGAGATCTATTCAGAATCCTTCGGAAGAAGAAAGTGCAAAACTTTACTTTCTAAGACCCCTGTTGCACTCAACACAATATTCTGGAACTGAATTGCCACATTTCCTCAGAATCTGCGTGTTGGAGGAAAGCTGAGCCTCTAATTCCGTTTAATTCCTTTCGAGTGTTTTTGAGTGAAGCTATTTCTTTGGAGCGCTGCTTCGTCAATCAAGGCTCTGACAATAGGTGAAATTTTTAGGAAAAATCAAGATGTTGACAGGGACTTTTCTAAACGAAAATCAATTTTCGAGAAATACCTTGAAAAGGAACGGTACAAACTGTTACAGAAGTAAACCGTTCTTGTTAAATATCCCTGAAACCTACAACCTGATGTTTATCAGGGATATGGTGAGAATGGGATTAGCTGCCTTGCAATTTAAGAAGAAAGAAAAAGAAAGAAGGAAAAATGAAAACAGGTTAAAGGAGAGGGCTGAATCTCTAAAATTTACCGGGCGATCAATACCTCTGCGATCGGTAAAAAGTTTTCTATTGGAACAAAAAGTAATTGATAAAAGTACTCACCCTCCAGTCGCCAGGGCCCATTGGATTTGGACCTCCAGGGAACATGTTCGCAGGCGGGAACGGACCGCATGGAAAACTATTGTTCATCCCCGGATACATGAAGTTGTTATTTGGCATCATCATATTGGGCATTGTCATTTCAAATTCTTCTCGTTTTGGTTCTGGCCATGGTTCATGCGTGAAGTCACAAACTGAGTCTGTACTGCCTGTTGTATCTTCTAGTGGGATTAAAGTTGGGTCAGTCGTCGCGTGAATTTCTAAATCTGGTTCAGCAGGTGTATCAGGAATCCTGAAACGCAAAATAAGGCTCAAAATATTTTTCTTAACTCATCACTTTGATCTGTTACCTGGGATTTCAGTGACAAGCCCAAACTTACAGAATTTTGTTCCCCGTAACTAAACGTGAGGGATTCAGGAATTCGACATGGGTGATTTTGCAGGGAATTTCAGAGCGCAGGGATGGACTTGAGCCTTTCTGCCAGAAATTAATTTTACATGAAACTCAGGCAACTATGATTGGGCCAGTGGGCCTAAATATAGATTTACTTATAAGCATCCTCTAGTTATTCTGTGGGAATGAAATTCTGATTCTAATGCTTCCATTAATTTTGCGAGTTGATTCTTTTCGGCCAATGATGAAATCATTACATGATAATAAATAAACATAAAATAAAAAAATTGGACCGTCCATAGGAAAATCAACCTCAGTCCACAAAAACTGAATATGTCTGTAGATCCTTTTGATTCCAGTGTGGTCAAAAAGTCAGATTAGGAAATTTTGATGGAAAACTCTCTCTCTAGTGTCCTAAAGACCACTTTACTTCACATGTATGCTAAAAGAGGGCGTAGAGAACATGTGGACAGTTAAAAGCCCTGAATGTGGCAGATAAGAATTTTAAACAGCTTTTCCTTCAGACAACATTTTGTCAATTGCCATGACTGTATTTTGGTTTGAGGAGTTGGAGTATTTTGTGATCCGAAATGTTTTTATGATTCACTCCTCTAGGCTCTGCTCTCCATGACTCAATTTTGAGTGTTTAAGAATCAAGACCTTCATTTGTGGACAATCATAAATAGGACTAATTTTGCAATTCAGAACTAAAACTTCTGTCTCAGTTCAGAAACAACGTATGTACCATCAGTCTCCCTGTAGGCATAGATGTTTCTACAGATGAGTCGGACATTGTAGTTCCGAATTGCAAAATGAAGTCCAGTTCATTAAAATAGAGGCTAACTTGATATCACTTGAAGGACTTCAGAATTTGAAAAAGCAAAAAATTTCGGACTAATTGCTCTATACATTCTTGCGGCTTATCAATAATTAATCATTGTGATTGTTTTATTTCAAGTTACGTTCCGTCTACAAATGATATCATACTTTGATAACAAACAAATTTTCTAAGAAATGCTTGGAAGATTTCTTGGAAGGAGCCTGTTCTCACGAGTAGGGACAAAAATGAAAAATACTTACGATCTACGGTTGAAATAAATTGCTTGAAGAACATTCTTCTCCCTAGCATACTGGATATCTTTTTCTTGACTGTTTTTCCCAGGAATGACAGTTGAAGGTTCTAAATCGATAAGCGGAGGCGGGCACATCCACGCAACTTTTTCTTCCATTATATCTTCTGATGCTAGAAAAGAGACAGAAATAGACTGGTAAGCAAAATAATAGGAGGGGTGTATTTGACGAAAAAAAAATTGCAAATGTGTGCAGAAGCAGAGAGGGAGGCCCTAATTGAAAATGAAAAAGTAAGAATGACTTTAAGAATTGTATGATGCGCTGATTAGCTAAAGGGTCGGTTAAGCTGGTCAGGGTGTCGACTAGAGCAGGCTGGCAAGAAATCAGTACTTTTACAGTGCATTCCCAAGAAATTCAATACCTCCTCAACAGAAGAATTCAGTATTTTTTCAGTACTTCCATTTGAAGAAATACGAAAAATGTCTAAAATTTGGAATTTTCACTTGAATTACAACAAAAATGACGTGGACGCAAAATTTCATCGATGGCTTGAAGATTGACTGACTGCACAATTGTGATCTTGCAGGCAAATACTTCTCTAAAAATCAACGCGCAGGGGATTGCAAACTTTCCTGGCTTCATTAAAAAACACTCATGGTATAAAGGAAAAAAATTCCAGACCTTCTCGCGGAATTTCTGCACTTTTACAGTTCTTCCAGACTGCCCTTAAAAAATCAGTACTATTTCCGGACTTTTCAGAAAGTCCGGACTGGTAGACACCCTGGTTGGTCCAAAAATCGTTTTTCAATGAATTCAGAATATATAATGGCAAAAAATAGATCCATCCAGAAATGTTTAAATGTTGCAATTCAGTTATGCATTTTTCACATTTAGCCATTGATTACCAACAAATATGATAAAGAGATGAGAGAAAATTTTCAGAACACTTACCTAGATTTCTTGCTTTTAGGAAGTTTTCTCTCTCAGCATACCTTTCTTGCTGTTTCATATCTGTGAAGTTCCTAGTAACATTTACTGAAAAAGAGAAGGGTTAAAATTAGGATAAAAACGGTGCATTGAGGAAAATTTTGAAAAATATTTCACGTCCAAGCAATTCTTTGAGGAGGTTTTTAGTATTCAGAGTAGTAATTTTCTGTGGAGACAGTCTGAACTGCTGACATTAGGATGGACAGAATGTTTTTGTGGGCGATTTAAAACAGGTCAAATTTAGTAATACCTATAAAAGTTGTGTAACAGGAGGCTTACATTGACCGATTCTGATACATGCAACAAAATGTTATCAATTTCTAATTATGAGTGGATTTTGAAAAATCTGGAAGCATTAATGGTACTCAGCCCAAAAATTATAATAAGCAAAACAAGGTAATTATGATCAAGTAAACATTTGAGGGGGAGCAGTGACACTATTCAAAAATTATCAACAACTGGGTTTAGTCCATTTAAATGTGTGGAAAATAAAAATATTTGTCAAGGTGGGCTGTTTCACTTAGAATCAATTGCGTAGAATAGATTTGAATAGGTCACTAAACTATGCATTTTTTTTGTACAGTGTTCTGAAAGTATCAGGTAGGTAGATTAAGTGATGATTAATTGCGAATTTTAAGGGCCAATATCCGGGACAAGCTTGCTTTTTAAAAGTCCTAAGACTCGCAAGATTTTCAAACACGCTGGAATGCCGGAAAACGATGGAGATGATGTATTGGGGCAGTCAAATCACTAACTCCTCTCATTTTCTACTGATGTTTATTAAAACACAGTGTATTTCAATAAGGAATTGTTGATCGTAAACTGCAAGTAACATGAATGTGATTCGATTCCTTGATTTAAAAGATATAGTTTCAACTTCCTCATTGTTTTCATGTACAAGGAGTAAAGAGACATTTGACAAAAGTAGTAGAACCCGTGCTTGCTCCTGATCGGTGCCAGATGTTATCATTCGGTTTGGCGCAAAACTTGGACGTTTTAAATATGCGGAAAAGTTGTGCTTTCTGAACTGCGAATTTCTCGGTTTCTGAGTTACTGAGCGTTTTTTTAGTGCACATTGTGTCTAAAGCATTATTTACCTTCAGAAAAATGTATTAACAAGTCAAAATACGTCCTTGGTTTAGTGACCCATGACAAGAAAACAGTACTACCACCTTGCCACCAACAGGCAGGGATAGAAAAAAATTACTTACTCCTTTCTGTTTCATCTAATTCGAAGTATTTGACTGAAATCAGGCAGTCTTCTTCTCTCCAGGAGACACTTTTCCTCTTCCCGTCTTTCTTTGATTTGAAATGGACTAGAGCACTTTTTGGCATTTCAGGCCTCGTTTCACCCAGGGGCACTTCATTCTCCGTGATATTCACTTTGAATTCTTCTTCAGAACTTGCTGTTGACAGAAAAATATTTTTACTGTAAAAAATCGGTTTTCACGGAGGGTAAAATAAGAATTCAACATTACAGGTTTCTAGTGAAAATGCATAATTAACTTCTGTGCTGCAGAAAAAAGAAAAAGAAATTAGCGTGTCTAGCAATTTTCAAACACAGAATTCATACATCTTCCTGATTTCCGTGACAAAGACAGCCAAAAAACCGAGGAAAAATTTAAAATTCCATGACAGACAGGAAGAATAATTCCCTGACAAATGCCAGACAAAAAGGAAAAATATTTCCAATTTTTCAACTCGGTTGAACTGAGATGTAAAAAAAAAAAAAAAATTCATGTTTTAGGAATAGAATGTAATAATTAAAGCAAAATATATGGTGCCTTAACTAATACATGATATTTTTGCCTCATCTTTATAATTTTTAAGACATCAGCAGAAATTCTGGCAGAATACTTCCTTCTTTCTATCCGAACTGGATTGCAATTAGCAGAGGGAACTTAAAAGACCATTTTCTCACTTTAAATTTTATAGGAAAAAAACGGAAAAATGCAGGTAGGTATTATCATTTGTTACGTGCTTCCTGAAAATTAATTAAAAAATAAACTGTGCAACAACCTGAATATAATTCCTAAATGAACTTACATTTGTCCTCCTGAGCATCCGCATGGAACTCATCCTTTGGTTTAACTTGCTCTGGAGGGTTAACCTCACTTGATTCTTTACTTTTGGAGTCTTCTTCAAGCGAAGTTTCCATCGTATCTTGATAAAACTGTAAAAGAAAATTCAAGTTAAGAGACACATAAATAAAATTATATACTAAATTTTGGCGAATATTTTGATGAAATGAATGCTACAAATTCTAGTACCTCTTCTTTCTTTTTTTTTTCTTTTGAAATAAAAAAATGAAACCTAAGAGAGAATCATTATCTGTTTTCATGTGCATGAACATTTTGTTTTGAGGATATTCAATGAGAGAATACGAGAAACTTTCAGGTACATTTTGGTTTGGTATGAATACATTTCGAGTACTCACCTTGTGTTTTGTAACCCGCTAAAGCATTTGTAAAAATTAATAAAAAAAAAAATTATCATACTAAATTTTACAGTTAGCGTGAGTAAATTTTTAATTGATTTTTACATGAACACTAAATGAGAGGATTCCCTACTTCCTTCACATTGAAGGTATTCTGAAGATACCAGTTGAGATTCTTCATCATTTCTAAAATGAAAGGAGTTAAATAATTCTGAACTTCTTAGGCACCATCAAGTGTAGCTAGGATTGAGCTACTATTTTCTTTACGTGATAGGAGTCCAAGAGCCAAAATTAGGATCATCCTCATAAATGGAAGGACAAAATTAAGAGAAAATTTCCAGACAAAAAGTGAATGCAGCAAGGGCATTAAAGTTCTCTTACCAAGCGTACTACCATATTAAAAATTTTATCACCACTTATTTGATGACACTTGAACAATTGACACTTTGAAGACTTTTGAAATTTTCTACCTTAAAATAGTATTCTCAGAGTCTCTCCACAGGAGACAACGAAAATAAAAACCAATAGGAGATCCATTACTCTCATCCTTTGTGAAAATGCCTTGAGAAGCAGTTTTACCTTAAATTGCGGCTTAACGATGGGTGGAGAGATGGGTACTTTGGGAGAGTCAGAATCTCCAGAGGCACCGGTGGGTGAGGCCTCTTTCTTGGGTTCTGGTCCACCATTAGATTCTTTCGTCGTGCTCAATTTTCGTTTCCGTTTGCGAGGTTCTGTCTTGATGTTAGCAGCGTCCAACGCGTCCATGAAACCAACACTTTCCAGGAGCATCGCTGAGGGTAAAACAAAAACTTTGAATTAGCTTAAAAATGAAGATGAAAATTACATGAGCAAACAATGAACAGTACGATTTAGGATAATTGGATAAAACATTGAGAAGGAGACCAGCAACATTAATCGAATTTCATGTTCTTCTAGACTATTAAAAATGGTATGATGATTATTTAAGAATTGTTTCAGATAGGTGCAACTAGGCAATAAAATATAATAAAAATGAATGGTTATACAGCGTGGAGAACCCTCGTTTGTGACAGTAGTTACCAGATGAACACAGCTGACCAACACATGAGTACCTGCAACAATATAAAAACCAAAAAGTTTAATCACTCTGCCAATTATTTGTCTTTGCTATTAAATTCATACCTTCTTTGAAAATGGTTTTAACATGTGCAAATATACATATAAATAATTGTGATACCAAATGTACAAATTAATCTTCCCAAAAGTGTAGGTACACGGTCACTCATATCATTAGGAACCGTTAATAAAGTACGTGAAATTTTTCCGGATTCCCCCCC